TACATCTACAGTTAAGCCAAAGGACAGAGTTCAAACTAATCCCAGCCCTGAGCACTCCAATCTTTGCCTTCATTTATAGTTTTGGATGTTTGCAATTTCATGAATTGGGGGGGGGGGGGTTTATAAATTTTAATCAATTGAAATAACCTTTCTTCCTTTTCCCAGTAAACCCCACTCATTATTTGATGTTCAGTTCAAGCTCCATATCCTCTTCAAAGAAGGACCCATGGTTCTTCCTCTTCTCTTATCTAAATGACCTCAAAATCAAGCAGTTCAGAATTTCATTTTCAAGAGAGGAAATTATAGCCTGGAGAAATTCAATGACTTGACCAAGGGCATATTGCTATTAAGCGACAAAGATGATTTCTGAGTCACAGTCCAATACACTTTTTACTAAATCAGACTGCTTCATGTAATAATGCATAAGTGCTCACGATGTACAGGTATTTTCTGAGGTCCCATTCCTAAAATTCCATGGTCTAACCACCCAGTGCAAACATTCTCCATGCATGGCATATTCCTGGTAAATCACTGTTCAGTGTCTGCTTGAATATGATTAGAAGTGTGTGTTGGGGGAGGGGGGGTGGCAGAAAACTACAAATTAAGTTATTCCTTTCTGGGACAGCTGTTATAAGTCTTCATCCTTTACCCCTTACTGAAATCTGCTTCCCCTAAACGTCTACTTATTGATCCTATCTCTGCATTTGGGGACTTAATTTTTTTAAAAAAATAATCAAACAATTCTTCATATATTTGAAAACCACTCTCATGCTCTTCCTCTAGATCACTGACTTAAATTATGTACACATTTAGCATTTATTCAATTTTTCTTACCAATTAAAACAAATAGAGCACAAAAAGTTAAAACAGTTGTCAGGGCAGAGATTCTTAATCAGTCTTATAGCGCTGGTCTAAATACATTATCATGCAGACATTAAACCTAACATCTTAAGATGGGTGGTTTGAATGTCTAACCGGCATTCCAAACTTAACATATCCAAAACTGATCACTCTCATCTCCCAAACCTGCTCTATCTGCAGCCTTTGCCATCTGAGCTGATGGTGTCTCCATTCTTCCTTTTGTTTTCTCATAAAAAATCTTGGAGTCATTCTTGATTCCTCTTTTTCTTTTTCTTTCACACATCCAAGAAAAGCCAGAAATTCTTGTTGACTCTTCCTTCAAAATATATCTAAGATCCAAATGCTTTTCCCCATTTGCAATACTATCACACTAACCTGAGTCACTATTATCTCTAACTTGGATTAGTACAATATCCTTCTATTAGTCTCCTTGTTTCAACCTTTGCTTCCGCCACACTCTGATCTCAACAAAGAAGGAAAAGTAATGTTTTTAAAATTAAAATCTAAGTGACATCACATTTGCCTGTCTGAGACCTTCAGTAGCTTCCCAATCCACTCAGAATAAGAGCCTATGTCCTCACAAAGTCCCACCCCATCTCCGCCTACTTCTGACTTAATTGACTACTACTGTCCTCTCCCCCTGCCCCCGCCACCACACACACACATATACAACAAGCAGGCTCTGCCACCAGATAATGACAGGGCTAACCCTCTTTAACTGTTCAAATATCATCTTCTCATAAGATCTAATACGACTACCCCATTTAAAACTATAACCTGTCCCCTTTCCCTCTCTATATTTTTCCATACCAATTATGACCTTCCAACATGCCATATTAATTAATTTATTTATGTTTTAACATCTGTCTCCCCCGACTAGAGTAAGCTTCCCAATGGCATGGACTGTTTTGTTTTGTCTGCTAGTGTCTCAAGCTCCTAAAACAGTGCCCTGGGATATCAGAGACACTCAATAATTATTTGTTTTGTGAAACTGTTATATGGAAAATCCTCTATCTCTTCTTTTCTTTGACACCATATATAGAAAGTATTAACTATCCTAAAAATAAGTATACAAATTTATTTCTAGCATGAACCGTGTGGTTGCAGCCTGAAAGACAATGGCATTATATAAACAAGAAAGTGATAAGTAGGCAAAAAAAAGTGATTCCAAAAAAGAGAAAAAACTGATGGCATTCTGCTACAAGACAACTTGCAAAACGCAAATGTAGTAAAGTTTCATAGGTCAAACAGTCCATACACTTGGCACCGAAGTGTTATTGGGTAATAAAGAGTAAATATTTTTATTTGAATAAAATCACAAAATATAACTTGAAAAACAATTACTGGCCCTAAGCCCTTCATAAAGGTGTGTCCTGAATGCCAGGAGAAAGGCCTCTTACATTTCCTAGCGACAGACATATTAAGTAAAATTACCTATAAATAAGACTGAAGCCTCAACACCTGATGCCATTATCTATCTATACTTAAGGGAGAACGCTGCCTCATTATTAAGTTGAACTAAGATTCTGATTTAACTGGCAACAGGAACTTCATTATTCTTTCTAAAATCACTTTTAATATTGACTCATTATTGAAATTCTAAAGTTTAGGCTTCAAAAATAAATTCCTAAAATTCAAGTTGGCTCAGTCCATTTCCAACCCCATTTTAACCAGTCATAGAACACCACCATTCTTTTTTTTTTTTTTAAGAGTGCATTTTTTCTTTTAAACTTTATTGGGAAACAGTGTTTCTCCCAAGACCCATCAGTTCCAAGGCAAGTTGTTGTCCTTCAATCTTAGTTGCGAAGGGTGCAACTCAGCTCCAAGTCCAGTCACTGTTTTCAATCTAGTTGCGGGGAGGTGAGTGGGGGAGGGCAGCGGGCATTGCCCACAATCCCATGTGGGAATCAAACCGGCAACCTTGTTATTCAGAGCACGTGCACTCTAACCAACTGAGACACCTGGCCGCCCCGACCTCACCGTTCTTTACTGTTGATGTTTACTAAACTTGATGTTTACTAAAACATCAAGCCCCCAACCTCCCCAATCTCCAAAACTCATTTAATTCTAAAAATTAGATCTCTGCAAACTTTAAAACTGTTTTTCAACAACTATTTTAAAGCTATTTTTAATTTCTTAGTTTAAAACATTACAATAATGTCTCTGGGAGCAAAACAAACCAATTTTAACATTTAAAATATCATGTATAGGATGGGGTGAAGGGGGTTGTCATTTTGTGAGGGTTGTAAAGGATAACTATTGTATTGTTCTGTACACCTGAAACTAATAATAAAAATTTTAAAAATAAATAAAATAAAAAAATATATCATATATACAATTTGTACCAAAGGAAAATACAACCATTCTCTTATAATATGAAAATACTTAGAAGCATTTCTTCAGTCACACTCCTAAGGTAAAAGTCCTCTCTTCTCTGATAAATCTGACATCTTATTATCATGAAATTGTGTTCTGGATAATTTGGTTGCAATAGGTTCCCTTGAGACATCCTGACAATAAAAGTTTATTGGTATCTCCTGCTTTAACCTCAATACTCTTCTCCTCTACATGAATGTAACATGAAATTACATTTATTATAATGTGCCTAATATAGGGTATTAAGAACACTCACCCAGAAGTCATAACGTACAAAAGTTGATACTCTCATAACTCTGAATCAACGACCTCACTGAGTTTATTATATAATTTCACTGGTATATAACTGGCTTGACTTTAACTTTTCATTAGGAAATGATAAGATCCACTGTCTTGACATTTTCCCTATAGAACTGTTTGGTTATTTGTAACATTTATTTCTATTAAAGCAACACAAATTTAAGATTTCCATCATTTGTGAAGGAAATTCAAGCAGAGCACAAATTTTGTATGATCATGACTACTGCTCCAGTGCCTGGCTCGCTGAGGCACTTAATATTCATTTACCGAATGAGTAGCGCCTACAGAAAAACCTCAATTGCTTCTTTTAGAGTTCACAGCATTTGGTAAAGACCTCTGCTGAAATGAAATTATAAATACAATATAATTTGTGGATTTATTATAATTTTAATGATTGTAGTCAGAAAACAAATTTTATTCCAAATTAAATGTCTCAATAAATAATAAAAATCTCAACAATGCCAATAACCATCAAACAAAAACACTTGGAAAGTAGCACCCTTTTTAGGAATAAAGAAAATGAGTCAAGGGCCGGCAGAGTGGCTCAGTAGGTTAGAACACGAGCTCTGAGCAATAGCGTCACCGGTTCTATTCCGACATGGACCAGTGATGCTGCGCCTGAGCTGAGCTGCTGCTGAGCTGCCAATAGGTGGCAGGATGGCTCAGCTGGTGAGAGCACATGCTCCTAACAACAAGGTTGCTGGTATGACTCCCGCATGGGATGGTGCACTATGCCCACCCACAATTAAGATTGAACACGGCACCTTGAGCTGAGCGGCCATGAGCTGCCGACAGGAGGCCGGATGACAACTGGACTTGGAGCTGAGCTTGCTGTGCCCTCCACAACTAAGACTGAAGGACAACAACTTAGCTGTTCCCTCTTCCCCAATTCCCCAATAAAATCTTTTAAAAAAAAAAAAGAGGAGTCAAGAGCTAATTCTCAAAGAATCTAGTTTAAAAATTCCTTAATGCTACCAATACAGCAAAGCTAAATAACTTTCAAAATAATTGTCAGTAAAAACGTTATCTGTTTCATAGTTATCAGTCCTATTTGTTGCCCTAGTTCTCTCCTTAGCAATAAAAAAGTTGCTGGGATTCAATTAAAGCCTTTTAGTTTTGAGGTAGCGGAGGCTAAAGGAAAGACAGGATCATCCCACTTAGTTATTACTGATGTTAAAGGACAACTCAAACCAGCTTTGTTTACTTCATTAACAAGGTTGGGACTTAACAACTCTCCTTAGGTTTCATTCATAACTTATTTTTCAAATGTAAAGCTACACAAGATAATTTCTCATTCTATTAATTAAAATATTCTACTAAACTATAACAATGTTTTCATTCACACTGTTTATACTGAAAATAAGAGGCATCAATCGGCTTCCCAAATGTTTGAACAAGGCAAGCGAATGGTTTAGGGCAGCAATTACAATAGAAAAAATGTCAGTAATCTGATAAATCCTTACCTTATCATATTGGCATACAACAACATTTTCTGTATCAAAGAGTTCCTGTCCTTCCTCATCACTCACATCATCTTCACTATTGAGGGGCTCCTACAAATAAAAAGGGAGAGTTTATTTAGTTATATTTTGTGTATTACTAGAAAAATACGCTTCTAATATTTAATGAAAAGAAACACAATGACTTTGATGTTCTTTGAGAACTAAGGGCCAGAGAGATGCGCATATATATATATATATATATATATATATATATATATCATGAACATATTATTAATTGGCTACATTAAGACGGTCAATGTTCTGAAATTCCATCAAGAAATTAAATACAATTAAAATAGTTAAGCTGTAAGTCTGAAATGATATTCATTTTATTTTTTTCAGAATATCACAAGAAGATAATTCTCTGCAATAACTTTAAGATGTCTAGACACGGGTCTTCCCTCTTACTTAGGTTTGAAAATGACAGTTTAATGAGATAATGGCCCTACTTACCACCAGAAGCTGTAGTGTAAAAGGGGAAACAATGGTGAAATTGGAGGGAAAGGGGGCTATAAAATAGGCTAGCAGTCTGGCTTGCCCTTACATTAGTGACTATGACTGAATACAAATTGGCATGCTACCACCAAGGTGGTGATGGTGGAGGCTTAGAGTATAACCAACTAAGCCATTCAGATCAAAGTGTGTGTGTATTGGGGTGGGACTTAGTCTCAGTACCAAAAAGAATTAAAGATCAAGATCTAACTAGAGCATAAAATGACCAACTAAGTTAAACTTGACCTTAGTTGTGGCAGAAGTTAAAAGATATAACTCATTATTTCTAATCGATGGAGAAAGAAAATACGTATGACAAAATAAGAGTAGAAAGGAAAAAAAATCAAGATATTAAGTCTAGGAGGTCTGCACCTACTCACACATGTGTATGTATACATATTCTTAATTTAAAATAGATTATCACCAACACAAACGCAAAAAAAAAAAACCAGAGATAAAATTCACATAACAGAAAATTCACCATTTTAAAGTGTACAATTCAGTCACACTTCATAATGCATGCAACCATCACCACTAATTGCAGAACAATTTGATCACCTTTACCATTAAGCAGGCACTTCCCATTCCCACCTCTACCCATTTCTAGCAACCACTAATCTGCTTTGTCTTTATAGATTTACCTATTCTAGACATTTCATATAAGTGGAATCAGATAACATATATATAAAATATGTGGTCTGGCTTCCTTAACTTAGTATAATGTTTGAGATTCATCCATATTGTAGCATATAGCAGTACTTTGTCCCTTTTCATGGCTAAATAATATTCCATTATACGGATATATCAAATTTTACTTGTCCATCCATTGGTTGATGGCCATTTGGGTTATTTACATCTTTTGGATTTTGTAAAAAGTACTGTAATTAACATTCATTTACAAACTTTTGACACCTGTTTCAATCCTCTTATCCTTAGGAGTAAAATTGCTAGATAATATGGTAATTCTATGCTTAAATTTGGAGAAACGAGCAAGATTATTTCCCACAGAAGCTACACCATTCCCACCAGCAAAACATGTTTTAATTTTTCCCCATCCTCACCAACATTTTCTTTTAGTATCTAAACAGACGTGAAGTATCTCTTTGTGGTTTTGATTTGCATTTCTCTAAATGAATAATGATGTTGAGCATCTTTTCACATGCCTGTTGGATATCTGTATATCTTCTTGGGAAAATATCTATTAAAGTCCTTTGCTAACTTTTGAATAGGGCTGTTTGTTTTTTGTTGAGTTTTAAGAGTTCTCAATATATTCTGGATGTTAATCCCTTATCACACATATGATTTGCAAATGTTTTCTATTTTGTAGGTTTTCTTTTCACTGTTCTGTACTTTCCTTTGATGCATAAAAGTTTTAATCTATTAAGTCCACTTTATGTGTTATTTGATTGCTTGTGCTTTGGGTGTCATATCTAAGAAACTATTGGGGCCGGCCGAGTGGTGTGTTGGTTAGGAGCTGGCTTCGGACACCAGCTCTGAGCAGCAGGGCCCCGGTTCAGATCCCACATTAGGGACAATGATGCTGCGCCCTCTACAGCTAAGATGGTGAACAACAGCTGGACCTGGAGCTGGGCTGCCGTGAGGCGACGGCATAGGCCAGCAGTAGGTGTGAGCTTTTGCGAGCTGCTGTGAGCAACCATGAGTGGCCGTCCAATGGCTGGCGACTGATCTGCCTCACCCGGGAAGAGCACAGTGATCATGATACCAACATGGGCCAGTGAAGCGACATCCTCCACAACTAGTCTGAAGAACCAAAGGGAAGCAACTTGTCTGTTCCTCTTCCCTGATTCCCCAATGCTGTTCCCACCCCCAATTTCCCAATAAAATCTTTACAAATAATAAACAAATAAATAAATCTAACAGACATATATAGAAGACCAAACAACCACAGAAAACACATTCTTTTCAAATAGATGGGAAGCATATATAAGAACTGACCACATAAAGCAGGTCTGAACAATTTCAAAGGGTACACACATCACACAGATTATATTCTCTACAAATAAAACAGTGAAGTGAGAACACAAATTAATAAAACAGGAAAAAACATACCAGAGAGTAAACAAAGCTAGAAGTTGATTCTATGAAATCAAAATACCTCTGGTGAGACTGAACAAGGAAAAAAAGCAAGAAGGCACAAACAATACTATTAGGGATGAGAAAATAAAGAAGGAATCACTATAAATGCTTCTGCCATCAAAAATATAACATTATCATTAACTTTACACTAATCAATTAAAAAATTTAGGTATGTTCATAGAAAAATACAGGCATACCTCGTCTTACTGCGCTTCACTTAAAGTGCTTTCATAGATTTTGTGTTTTCAACAAACTGAAGGCAAGATCCACCAGCAAAAACATTAGGACTCACTTTATGAGACACTCGCTTTACTGCAGTGGTCTTGAACTGAACCCACAGTATCGCCAAGGTGTGCCTCTATAACTTACCCAAATTGTCTCAGAAAGGAAAAGAATACTTGAACAGAGTAAAGATTACTAGGACCAGCAAAGCTCTTAGTTAATTTGAATAGAAGGGAACTTCCTTAACCTGATAAAGGATATCTATAAAAAGCCTACAGTAAATATTATACCTAATAGTGAACCATGGAAAGGATTCCTTTTAAGATTAAGATAAGGGTGCCAGCTCTCACCATTTTTAGTAAATACTGTTTGGAGGGCTTAGCCAACAAGGGGAGAAAAACTGTCGTTTTTCATATTTAATTTGATTACCTACAGAGAATACATGAAAAGAATCAGATGCTAAACCTCATCAGTAATCAAGGAAATGCAAATTAAAACCAAAATGAAACACCATTTTCTACCTCCCAGACTGTCAAAAATGAAGAAGCCTGACAATATCAAGTATGGTGAATACGTGTAGACATCTGCACTGTTATGTACTGAATGAAAGGAGTGTTATTAGTACAACAATTTGGTATTTTATTGTATAGTTGAAGATGCACATGACTTAGGGTCCAGTAATTCAATGTTTAGGTATCACAACTAGAGAAACTCTTGTATATATGTATTCTCAGGTGATACACATCAGAATATTTTAAAACTGTAACGGCAAACAAGTAGACACAACCCTAACACCCATCACATCAAAAAACGGATAAATTATGGTATACTCAACAGTGAAAATAATTACTGGTAATATGCAACAACTCAGATGAACCTCAGGGAAAAAAAACTTGTAGAATAATATGTAACTATTCTGTTTATGTTATAAGTGGGTATGCAAAACTAAACAATATGCTCTTTAGAAATATAACTACATGTGGTAAAATATAAGGCAAGTGAATGATAAACACAAAATTCATGAGCACGGTTGCTCTGACAGAAAAGAAAAAGGACAGAAATTGGACAGAGGCGCCCAAGGAACTTTAATTAAGGGGATTTTTTTTTTTTTAAGATTTTTATTGGGGAATTGGGGGGATGGGAGCAGTGCTGGGGAACTGGGGGAAGGGAAACAGACTAGTTGCTGTCATTTTGTTCTTCAGTCTAGTTGTGGAGGACGTTGCTTCACTGGCCCAAGTTGGCACCATCATTGC